GGACGCATTTGGAAGCTTTTAGACACCTACGAAACCTTTTTGGAGGGCTTGGTAAAATATCTTTTTTTTTACAGTGTACTCCGCGAGTACGAGTGGAGTACATTAAAGTACAAGTACTCCTGGAGTCTCGCTCCCCTCACCCACTTGTATCAGCATTATTCAAGCATCAGAAGTACTGAAACGATGCTGAAATGCTGAAACAAGATGTCGAAGACGCACTCTGAACGTTTATCAGCTGGAACGAAAAAATAGCAATAGAATATCACTGACCTCATTACAACCATGTGGCTGATAAACACACATTTTCTTGTTCGTTGCGAGCTGTTCAATAATGAATGCAGGACATGGTCGTTGGACGAATGAGCTGCATCTTAGTGGACATTTATTATTATTTTCACTAAGCCATTTAGTGATGCACGTCGAACAGAATGAAGTCTCGCATGTTTGGCAAGCTATTGGCTCTCTCAGAACATCAAGACATATCATACACTGAAGATCGATTGGATCTATCCTAGGTAATTCTGGAATACAATCAGGTGAAATTTCCTCTTTGTTTGCAGTTGCCATCTAAATAAAAGGTGACAATCAAATGATTTCATATGCCAGATTTACATATTTTGTCGAAAAAATAACAGTCGTTGAATTTGAAATGATGTACTGTGTGCAAATCCTTATGCAAACCCTTAAGGATGTGGGTGAGGGCATTGTGTGAAGGTGACGATGCGGCGGGGAGGGGGGGGGGGGGGGGGGGGGGGGGGTGGCGGAGGGTAGAATGTGGTGTGGGTGTGGGTGTGTCTATAAATGGGACGAATACCGACACCCACACCCTTTTTTCGTTCTGCTTCAGTTTTCTCATTAGATATATGATATTACGCAGTTGAAAATAAACAAAAGCAACTGATCTTTTGCCGTTTGCATTGTTGTATAAAAACGTCTCATTTTCATATTATAATTTATTATTACTTGTAAATAGCCGTAGATTGTATGAACGTAAAATAAGCTGCGATATAGTGAATCTATATGACCGTCGCATTCCCTTATTTCGCATAGCAAGCTGTGTCCAGTGGCGACCCAGCATCCTAAATTGTGATGTGGCAATAAGTTGTAACTGTCACGATTGTCCTATAATCAGCAAAGGTAAATTCCATTTTCGTCGATAATTCATTTTCTCCGACAAAATTTCACCGAAACTAATTAAAAGTTAATTATGGCTGATGTTTTAATTGATAATTCTGTTTTTAATAATTAGTCTATCATATCAAGTCAGTTGGTTGCCAAGTCGATGAAAACTTCTCTCAAGCTGAAATAGATGCCACTGTAGGGATGATTATCTATGTTAATCTGTATGCATACTGGTGGCGTCAATTCTGTTTGTTCGAAGGAGGCTTTTGATTTCTAATGTGCAATAAAATCGAAAGAAAACAAAGAGATGTAAAGGGTGTGGGCGTGGGTGAGGGCGAGGCTCCCTCACTCACCCCTCATCTACACCCTCACCTGCAACCGACTGATTTGGTAACCAACTGACTTGATATGATAGACTAATTAGTAAAAACAGAATTGTCAATTAAAGCATCAGCCACAATCAATTTTTAGTTAGTTTCGGTCATCATTGACTGTCGGTGAAAATCGTTTTCGGCGAAAATGGACTAAATCATCAGCAAATACTAGAGCAGCGGAAAAAAAGCTTTTCGAAAATTTTTACATTTTTAAAAAAAACGTGGAGGTAGATTGACGATTTTTCTGAAAACTTCCATACATTTTTGGAAATTTTCGAAGAAATTTATAAAGTTTTCTACCAAAAAAACAAATTTGTGAAAATTGAACGGTCGCCAATCACCTTTCACGCTTCGCTGTAAAGACGTTTGGTGATGGTTTATATTATTATTTAAAAAATCGTGTTTTTAGATTGTTTTGACTAGACAAATACATACATATAGGCTACTAACAATTTTCTCAGGTATGGCAATTGCTACCAGTTGCCCTCTGGCGGCCCACCAATGGCTGTGTCTTAGAAGCGTAGTAGATTCCAGAAGTGTCACGTATTTACCGTAACAAAGTACAGTATTCATCAGTGGTCGAGCAAATAAATTCTTTTATAAAACTGAGTGAAAAGGTTAATCTACTTTTTGAAACACTGGTTCTTAGCAAACATTGGTGATAGTCGACTGGAGCAATTCACTAAAGACACGCTCGGATATGATATGATCACGTAGAAGTAAACATCATGATAATGTGTAAGTTGTAAATAATATCACATGACACATTCCAGATTGATAGACAGAAGGGCAAGTAAATAAGACACGCTTTCAAAATAAAACAGCGAGATGAAATAAACTAGCAGAAGACTAAAAACAGCAGTCCAAATACGATCTGATGGGTAGCTTGATAATGAAAGTGAGATGTCTTAATGAAAATTTTCTTTTCTTCTTTTTCTACTGCCAACAGGACCACCAAAAAGATAAGCGACTGATGATATTGTTTCAGTCAGTGATCTTTTGTTTAAAGTCAACAAATTTAGAAGCTTGGCGGTCTATTTACTCGTACGAGCAGCTATATGTGTTGATTTGTGTGATTTAGCTGCTGAGAATCCTAATCCTGCCTGAATTATTCTGTGAGATATTACATTCTCCTCTTGTTTTCAAGCTTTGTAAAAAGCATAAATTGACCAATCTGCAAAATATCTCAACATAACATACACTAACACTGGACATTGAATCAAAAGCTGGTCTGTGTTTGCCAAATCGGCAAGACCATAGAAGAAATCGTATGAGAATTGGAAAGAGATTCTATCATATGTCAATGTCCTCTGCTCGAAGAGCTAAGAATGTGATAGACATTCACCAGTATTGGCGTATGTCAACATGACTTTCGTCAATTGGCGAGTGTTCGGGGGATGTATTGACGAAAGTCGTATTGGCCAACTTCAGGTTACTCATTATCTATATTTGCAGGACGTCATACGAATTCAATTAGTTACTGTAATTTATATAATTGTAATGGTGCAAATTAAGTTTGCGATGTTCTCTTTTTCATAGAGAAGAGTCCAGCAAACATAAATTGTCTGCTTGCTTGTGTGTTTGCACTTCACTGATTGATTGGAGAATCATGCCAGAACAAAAGACATAATCCTCTCAAAAACTTGACTGAAGGTAATTGAGGGTGGAGAATCCGAATCCGAGATCAGTTTTAATTAATTAATTATTAATATTTTTTTTTAAACTCGAACAAAAGAGATTGATGATGGAGAAGCTGAAGACAGTTTTAATTATTAATTAGTGATTATTAATTATCTCGAAAGTATGTAATTATGAGTGGGTGAGAGATGTATAACACAACCACATACATCCTAAATAAATAATTTGCTGCTAGCCCAGAAGCACCCCTTCAACGAGGAATAGCTAAGCGAGTCTACAGACGAGTGTTACTTGTAGATAATAGGAAAAAAAGGGTTACAAAGTATTCTGAGAGTCGCTTGGTATCTAAACTTTATCTTGCTTAATCGACTAACAAACTTACATGTGTTTTTGTTTCTATATCGCTCTTTAAACTTCGATATCTATTCAAGCTCATCGAATATTCTAAAGTTGTGAAATAACTCACCAGATTTTCACAATGACTAACATCGCAGATTATAGATATCTTATTTCAGCTCTATATGTCTGATATTTCAAATATTTGATTTTTCTTACAAATCATTTTAAGAAACTACTCACCACAGTCAAAAAATCCAAGATTGGACGATGTGTAACTGTCGATTTCACTTATTATTAGATATGTGATGTGATATTGTTTTTTTCCTTCGTTAAAAGATTCGTTTATAACTTCTGCAAGGTGAAAAAGTTTTTTATTTCTTTTTTTCCTTTTTTGCTTCGTGTGTTTTGGTGGGTTTTTTTTCAACTATATATTTGATTCCTAACGACTGTATATTACAAAGATAAAATACTCAAGGTGAAGAGAAAAGGATGAGTAAATGCAAGCAAGAAAAAAAATGATATAGAATAACAAAAAACAAGACTTTTTCATTGGCAACGAGGATTCGTTTATGACTTTGCAAGGTGAAGAAATCTTTCGTTCCTTTTCCTCTTCTTTTGCTTCGTGTGTTTTGGTGGGTTTTTTCCAACTATATATGAGCAAAATCAGGCAAATAGGACATTTTTCTTGTTTTTTCAAACGTAAAACAGATATGCTAAAATATAATAGAGTAGTAGCCTACACCCTGGTGTATAACTCGTTATTCTTCTTTTCTTCAAAATTATAATACCATCATTCTATTTTTTCATCTTCTTGTTCGATTCATTGCGCAACATTTGTCTACTCTGATCATTATATTCGGATCTGCTCGACAACGATCAATAACTCAAACGATACAAACTTATAAATAACATGTTTATCGACAGTTAGAAGGACATAAACAACTGTTGATTAACCCCGTCATTCTGCTTATTTTGTCATTACCTCGTCTAATCATGTCAATATTATCTGGATGTGTAAATGCATCTAATTATCCATGATTGTTTCTTTTTGGTTATTTCATCTCATTTACCCCATCAATGCTTACCTTTATTGTATTTGCTCTTCCTTCGAACTTGTATAAAGAAAAATTAAAACAATCATTTATAAGATGGACACGACGAATTCATCTATAATCATTTTTTCGTAACTTCTATTTAAATATTTATCATAGAGTATGAATGGGTGTAGGTCATTGTATGAAATAGGGATGCACCGGTGACGACTCACCGTTCACCGGTCTCACCGGTCGATCGATTCACCGTCCACCGGTTCACCGGTCAGTACGGTGAACCGGTGGACCGGTGAAACCGGTGAACGGTGAACCGGTGGACCGGTGAGACCGGTGAACGGTGAACCGGTGGACCGGTGAAACCGGTGAACGGTGAACCGGTGG